CTGTGTCTGGATATTACACCTATTTACTGACTACAGTAATATTTTGTGATTTTTATTTTTGAGAATGTGAGAATAGATTGTTAGAAGACAAACTGTTATTCCATTAATTTGTATATCTCGACCAATATTACTGTATCATGACAAAATGTACGATTTTTGTTTATATGGTTTATTTATACTTAGATTTTACCTGTGTGATTTTCATCAGCCAATTAGAATGAGTGTTTGATGGTGTATGTTCAAAACAAATCAGTACATTTGGAGCACTGTGATTGGTCGAGTATTATACTTGACATTTGACCTCATAAAATGAGATTCCATATTTGAGGTGAGACTAAATAAAATAATGTGAATGTCAAAAACATATGAAATGAAGTTTATTTTTATTAGATTGCAGTTTGCACCACAAGGACGGCTCTATAATTGTCAAATAGATAATTTTAATTTAGTAGTGTAGCAAAATAGTTAAAAAATAAAATTCAATATATTTTAGAAGCAATTGTTAAAGAAAATGATAAATTTTGGTTTTAAGGTATTGATTTCACACAGTGCTTATGATGTATACAATACACAATCTGATTAGTTGAGGCATCCCCAAAATCACCATGATTGGCCACGCCAGTTTCATTATAACAGATTGTCTGGTTGGCTGAATGCTGAATATTCCATGGTTATAGTTACTTGTAAGAACTCAATACACTAACTAAGAATTACCTTTTCTTCTAAAATATAGTGAACCAGCCTCCACCCCTGCTACAAATAAACTATGCCTCTGATGCTTTTCAGCTTCACAAACATTTTTGATTTTCACCTCTGCCACTTCACTAAATAACGGGACTGCTTAGCTTGACATGGTTTGTGGAAGTTGCTATTCTGTTACATTACATTTGTATCTGAGTAAATCTGTTGTCAAGTGCACAATAACTCCTGCTGACATGTTAGGCATTATCATTGGCATAGTTCATTTTTAGCAGGGGTGGACCAGCAGGAAAGGGGAGGGGTGCTTCATAGTAAACTACATTTGTACATTTACATAAGGCCATACCAATCTATCTCAGTATCACAAAAACTAATATCTACAGAAATTTGTGTCTTGTAGATGTTACATAACTGTCCAACTATTAATATCAATATTTCCCAGTTTTGGGAATCTTTAAATAGTTTCTTGTGTCTAGTACATAACAGTGTTGTGATGATCCCAGTGCTGTGTGTGCTCTGCAATCAATCCAAGTTCTGCATCTGGTAATTTAGGTATTGGAATATTAATTCCTGTAAATTGTGGTAGATCTTTATAGGCATCTAGTCTTTTTAAACGACCATCAACTATAGAAAAAAAAACATTGAAAAGCACAATATAAATAAATTGATATCAAATAAAATTATGTAGGCTGAGAATTTTTGATTAATTTGTGTTTTGCTTTAAATTAACAATATTAAAAAAATTCAAAACAGGTTTTGTAGAGATTTCTTGTATATACTACCGGGTAGTAATGTAAATAATAATTTTGAGTGTTTTAAATGTGAGTGAATTTACAGCCACTAAATCTCATTGGTCTGAAACCATTGGGGTGGAGGCAGGGGGAACTACATGATCTTCCTTGACTTCAAAATTTGTGTCACAATCATCAAGAAAGTGACATGGGATCCACATTGAACTTGATATTGTATGCTGACTGTGACACTTCAAGTAAATTTGATTAAATTTTCCAGAGTAATTAACGGTGGATCGATGATTGATGACTATTATCCTGAATAAACCAAAAAATATTATCAAATATCAAAATATCAAGTTGTGAGTGGTTCTATCCATAAATCATAAATTAGAAACCACTCACCAAATGGTGGTCTTGTATTGAACTCAGCCCTTGGTGGCCAGGGCTCATCTTCTGGCCAGCTATTGGAATGAGGTTGTCCTGTCATCCGCGTCCTGTCATACTCTTCTGTTGATTCCACCGATCGATTCTGTTGCAACTGTCGTAGCTGTGGTAGTGGCGGGTGTCTCTTTTCTAGTTCTCCACTAAATTTGACACTTTTGTCGGAGCCGGATGTTTTTCGTGGATCAGGCTGTGTGGCTGTTGCTGTGCTGGCCCACTTACTTCTCGCCAGTGCGTCAGCTTGGTGCTGTCTCATTCGGTCCTCATAGTTAGCAATCCTCACTAAAGCATCCTTATAATAGGGCTCTAGTTCCTATAAAACATATGATTGTTACAGTACTGACTCATATAGTAGAATTAGCATAGATTTTTTTGTGAGACTCAGAGTATTTATTTTCAACACATAATTTGTTTTAGAACAATTAATCAAGTTTGCGATAGCTAATGTCAATCGACCGATATGCAAATTGGTATGGTATTTAATCACTGATATGCAAATCACATGACGCAAAACTGGGGATGCAAAAACATGATGAATTTAAAGGGTGGTAGTCATCACGCAGCATATGTTCGAATCTCATGTAAATAAACAATGTATTTTACACACGTTGTAAACGTCGCCATGAGTCCCATATTGAGCAAGATGCGGCGTGACGACCACCACCCTTCAAAATACACATTTATTCTTTGATGTTGATGTTAAAGAAGGTGCTTAGATCGCCATGTTGACGGCAGTCGAATACAATTGTGAAAATAAGTTTTGTATGAATGTATTACTGTAAAATCTGTATTATAAACCATAGCTTCTATTAAAATGGTACAATGCAACAGAGGGGATGCGACATCTATTAGAGCATCTACACATATGAGATATGGTGAATTTTTGGGTCTCAATTGTTCAAAAAGAATGGGTGCGACTTCTATTAGGGATGTGGCTTTCTAATACAGATTTTACGGTATTTCAAATTACACGATATATTCCTCAACCTTGCTATGTGCATGCAAACTTTACAAATTGAAAATATCACGTTTGTTGAGTGGATGTTTTCTGTCTCACCTCTCTGATGTCTTTCAGCTGTTTAACATGTTCCTCACAGTGCCATCCATGATGCTCAATTCCATTTAAAGTGACATTACGTTGACTACAAGCTCGTCGAATTTCCCGTACAACAGCTAACATTTTGGCAACTTTGGCTGTTAAAACTGGAAAAAAACAAAATAATAATTTATTTATTTGGATATCCTATGGGAAAATTCTAACAACAACAAAAAAACATATAAATAAAAAAGACAAATAAATATACAAAAAATAACAATTTAAGCTTGAAATAAACTTATGTAATCCTCTGAATAAATCTATAAATGAAAGGAAAAATGTTAAAACTATCCATACACGTGAAAATAGGTGAATATTTAAAATCATTAATTCTGTTCCTACGAGGTCTAAAAATTGTGCAAGTGTCTGACAGGAACGTAAAAGCAAAAATGAGCTGCATTATGAACGCTGTATGCACATAATAATAAATAAATAAATATATAATTAAAATTACCGTTTACTTGTGTTTTAATAAGTTTGTTTGGTTAAAACCGTCAGCGGGCAAACGTGTTGGTATATTATCACAACGAAAATAAATTGTGAAAGGTGCACTTCCGCGTTCGTTTGTATAATCTAGAAACAAGAAATTGTATCACGGTGGCCGCCGTCGTAATTGATACAGAGGTTGAATCCTTCGGTTTTCAATGGCTTTTTATCACGTAACATAAACAAAACAGGGCAACTGATGGACACTGCCATATTATAAGTAATACTCACATCGTACAAGGGGACCATCCACCCAATACTCTAAATTTTCGTCCACTTCTGGTCTCAAAGTCTCTAGCATCGTTGCGTCTTGTTGGAGCTCCGCGTCCAGCTCATCGCTCAAAAGGCTCCTGTGTCGATACAGGGACTCGATTCCCATTAAAACACTCGTACATGTGTCCCTGTACTGGCTACGGGCTACCAACGTGGCTGGATTTTCCGACGACATCGCTAGAACCAAGCAATCGTCGATATTTACAGTGTATTTTTGTCTTACTCTGTCGATCACACTATTGCTATGGTGCCGCACATCAACACCGTATGATTTGCATAAAATAAAAGGTCAAACAAATTTGCAAGATAATAGCTCAGCTGACCTCCCAGTCACGTGACCACAGCTGATGCTAATAATTGTTTACAGGGCGTTGTTACGTGGTTACGAAGGGTTTCCTTTATTCAACCACTAGTCAGACCGCTTACTGATCAAACGTTCTTTCGAAGTCGGTGATATTGTGGCGGATATAATACCAAAAATGGCAGATCCAGCCCCGCCAGCGATCCCAGCCGTCCGGATCCCAGTTGACAAACCAGTGCGTCTTGTCGGAATCAGCCACTGCAACAACAGCTACAGTCTGATCGACCACGCGTCGTCGGCTGACAACTTACACCATGTTTTCCACATCTTAATTCAAAACATCGCTAGTTGTGTTGATGATCCACTTTACTACAGAACTGATGAACTTTTAAGCGAATTTAAAGGTATCGGTACAGATATTAAAGAACTTGCTAGAGATCGAGGCTACGAGGAAACCACAGATAACTACCACGCTCACCATTTCAAAGCTGATCACGAAGCAGAAAACAAATGTAAGTTCCGGTATTTTGCAAAATGTCATCGCTGTTTGATTATTTTAACTTATACTCAATGCATAAACAAATGTGTCCATTAAGACATTGTTACTCGACGTCGTTGTTATTGTCTAACTAGTACAAAGTTCTGAATTATAGCAACACATCATAGTATGTCAACCTATTAGTATTATTATTTCAAAAAGACTCGATAGACACTCGATCTATCACTGAAATTTAACCATGAAGCAAATTTAATACCAGCATATAGGACAGTAGTCATAGATGAGATAACTCAGATAAGAGGCTAATTAACAGCATATAGGTAGAATAATTACATTACAGTACATTGTATGTTTTTTTAAATGTCTACTTATTATTATTTCATAATAATGTATATTTATTAAGAGAGAAATGTTGATTGTTGATGTTTACAATGTGAAATATAAAAATAGAAATGTGTTTCTGATGCAGTCTGTTATTATTAGATGTTAGGGGCCTAGGGTTGGCGTGTTGGGTTACTCACCTGGATTTTAGGTGGGAGTAACCCACAGCTAGTTGTAAACTGGACCCCAACGTTGAGAGTGCTTTTTGGCTCAATAAATGCTGTTTTTCACCAAAAAATTGCCTGAATTTAGGTAAAATGACCAAAAAATCACATACTGGTATAAGATATACAGATGTGACTATTATTAAAACGTAAAGATAATAAATTATAAAGTATAAAATAATATATATGAACTAATCCTGCTTGATTTTGATCAAGATCTGTTTAAATCAACACATTTTAAAACAAAAAGTTATTTCTAAATTGTTATCATTAATAATTAAAGATTTAATCATTAAAACATTTTGCTTGAATAATATAACTATGAATGAAGGAGGATGCACAGATGGGTTGGTAACATTTTATTAAAAATCCTAAAAGCTGGAATTGTTTACGTTTTGCTCAATTCTCGAGCAGAAAATTCACAGCAATTGCATCAATGTTTTGAGTCTTTGCAGCTGATTTCTGTCATTTTCTCCATCACCTGACCACACTGCCATATATTTTAGTTTAGTAACATGTTTATCATCTTTACAGAGTGTTGATTTCTTTTTTGTTTTCAGATCTCATCGCACACTTGTCAGAAGTTGCACATTATCTTGTGGATTATAAAAATGAGTGTTGTGTTGAAAGCAGAGGACAGAAGGCTTTGGACAAATCATTTCTTGAATCAGTTTGCCAGAAACATATCGAACATATCAGAAACTACAGAAGAGTAAGGATT